TGGTTTTTCTGTCTGTCTTTGTCGGTTCGTCTTTTGTTGTTGACTGTGTTCACCGGTGAGTGTTCTGTCTGTCCAAGTTCTATTTCGGTATCCTTGAAATAAAGGTGTATAAGTTTAATCTGCATTTGGGTCCTGCTTCCTTCGCTCTACCGTGACAATCGCAGTGGTTCCCAACCTTTTCTTTTTTTTACAATTGTACCCCTACTGAGAACCCTATCAGATTAACTCAAGTAACCTCTTCACTAACACTGGGAATCGCAAAACCACGGAGTGTTTCTTTAACAAAGCAAATGTCACATTAACATCGACTGCAGGGATTATCTGAAGCCAAGAAGGCGGAAGTATTCCGATCCTTAAATAAAAGTACAAGCATCTCAGTATGGACACAAAGTAACCATGATGCGAAATGTTGTGTTTTTTACTATTTTAAAATGATTGTTATTACTCATGCATCATTTGTAATTAGCATTTTACTTCTGTAGTTGGTTGAGGCGGTGCCGATTTGAACTATCCCATACACTATTGCGGAGTTTATAATATTTTACATACAAAACGTGATGTATCGCTTTGGTATTTTCTGAAATTATCACATGTTTTGCATGTTAAGTGAGAAAAGTAACTAAAGCTGTAGAAGTATCAAGTAGCAGGAAAATGTAAATATTAAGTAAAGTACCTCACATTTCTATTTAAGTACAGTACTTGAGTAAAACTACATTCCAACAATGCTAAACCACGCTGCTTAAATAGCTCTAAATATAATCTTGCAAGAAAATAATGAGGGGCTTTTTGGAATTTGACTACTCTTTCCTTGACTGAATGGACTCTTTTTTTTCGACTGCACGGTTAACCAATACACATTTAACCAAGCCTTGTTGCCATGGCGTCATATTAAGGCTCGGATCCTCACTATAGCAACTCCCTGATAGACGGACTGAGTGGCTGGATGAATATCTGACATGCTGGCTGGCAGAAATGACTGCTTGTAGCAGGTTTAAAGGATTATATGAATGGGAAAATGGCTCATTATGAATTCCCTGAACTCCATGCTGTTTTATGAACAGCAGAAATAGTATGCATCAAACAAAGGAGTGAAATAAAGGGGTAGGAAATAATGATGGGTGAATATGTGGATTACGGCTTGAGCAAATATACGGACACAGCAAGAGAAGGAGTGCTTTAGCAAACGGAGGTGAAAGAGAAGGAGTAAATCCCAGAACACATGCTCCATATCTTTTGTCAGTGAAGAGGGTAGCCCTCCCTGCTCCCTGCTCTCCAGTTACACTGTTTGGGAGCACGTGCTCCACATCTCCCCGTCTAAATGAGCCCAATGTGTCTCCATTAGTGAACCGACTGTAAATTAATCTCTTTGTTGTCTAACAGCCCCGGCAGAGAAGGAATCAGAACAATGAAACCTCTGTGGATAAAAGCGGAAAAATAGCCATTATTATTAGAGATAAATGAGAGATAGGTGACCAAAAATGTGAAATAAATCAATATACCATTTTCACGAGTATAATCTGATACACGACCTGATCTGAGAATAACAAAGGATAACAAATAAAGTCTCACAGCACCTATTTGTTGAGCTGTTGGCACAAAAAAAAGCAGACTAACAATAAAGATTGAGTGCTTTAAAGCTAGCATAACTGTAATAATTAGTGCGTTATTGAATAAGAGATGGATGTGAGTAGAGCTGCAAAAATGTGCCGATCGACAGAAATATAATGATGATCATTCATTTTTTCATGCAAAGGTGCAAGAAAATGCTGTTTTCAGCCTCTCAAATATGGAGATGTCCTGTTTTCTGTTTCGTATCATATTTAAGTGAATATATTTTGGTTTCTGGACTGCAGAACCAGACATTTAAAGACATGACCTTGGACTTTGAGTTACTTGATGATCGCATTTTCCCTATTGTATAGACAAAGGATTAATCAATTAATCTAGAAAATGATCGATAATGAAAATATGTGTTGGTTGCAGCCTTAGACCCTCGACACACGGAGACGGTAACGAAAACGAACCGAATTCGATATCAAAAATGTCTTCTGTCCACGCGCAATCGGCACCAGAAACGTGTCCGTCCACACGAGACCGCTCAACCCGCTGGAGACGCTGTAGTACATATGCCGGGCCTGTAAGTGGCGCTGTATTTCCGCCACAAAATACACCAAAAGCAGCGAAGAAGACTTCACAAGCATGCATGGTTGCCATGGTTGCCCTTCTGTTTATTCTCCGTGGTGGATTTAGCAGCAGAGGTGGGGAGAGGCAGGGGCCAGGGCTCTGGCTTTTTTTCTCCCTCCCCGAGGCAAGCGTGTGCTCCTGCTGTAAATCTCCCCGGTAGTCCATCAGCAGATGAAAATGTAATCTATCTGTATGTCATGTATGTCATATATGTTATGATGAATTAAAATGGGGGACCCTGATGTAAACAAGACGAAAGTCTTTCTCTGGTCTGCATCCCCTTAACAATTGTGTATTGAGCTGTACTGTATTGTACCCATTCTGCAATCTGTTAATAACATTTTCAATCAATCAGATGAGAAACACCCATCTCTCCGCCTTCTCCAAGGGACGAGGGAACCCTGCGGCAGAGTTTCCGTTATAATTGTTTCTGGCCCTCCAAAATCGTGGTTCTTTCCGGGCCAACAACCGGGCTGAAAATTATGCTAAACTAGTGACGTGAGTGGTTACAACTACAACAAGATGAACATATTTGACCGTGATTTAATTGTAATACACGTTTCAAAATGATGCCGAAGTAACTACATACTGATACCGGTTAGTAAAAACCATGAATTAATGCTTTGACAAGTCTGCAGACAGACGGCAGGCGAAAAACCTTTTAAAATGCGTGTTTTCTGAATGGAGATCGGCTAAGCTAACGTTGTATATGCTCCGACCGTCCACACTCACAACAACGGCCTGCAGACATAAATAAACCAGCGACTGTATTCGCCATGACACAGGCTGTCTGTGGTTTGTACTTGTTTAACTTTTGTCTAGTTTCTGAACAGATATGAGGAGCTGTGAGCTCTGAGTGCTAACAACAACTAGCAACAGTGCTAGTGTTGGTTTTGTGGTTCGCATTGAAGATGACGTCATGGCTCCGCCTACACTGCGTTACCATAGTTACTGCCCCAGCTACTAAACTGTAATGGAAACGCAGCATAAAGTGAGCCTGGCCTACCAAGGCCTAACTATACCGTACAAAGCCGTGCGAGGCCCAGTGGAAATGCGCCATTAATCCCCTCTGCTGGCATAAAAGTCTCTAGTATCTCCGCTACTTTTTTGTTATTATCCAAATGTCACAGGGTATCCCTGCAACTGCCTTTGAAATGTCAATACAAGTCAGACACAATCTTATTTTCACAACAGATTAAAAAGGAGGTATCCGTTTTCCATCCTCAGTGGCTTTGAATAGCATCTGGTTACAGTTAGTTATAGATTGTCAGTGGATTAGATTTGGGATTTACAGGTGCGAGTGTGGAGACAGCCTCTGTTGTGTCTGCAACAACACAACTCCACAAAGCAACAGCCAGACAATCCCATCGTATGTCTGTGTGCGTCAGTAGGGTCAAAGGTCAAGTAGTAGGAGAGTTTTTGGAAGCTTTGCTCAAGTCTAACTCTTTATCCCCTTTAGAATAGCCTAATTTAGTTGTATTATGTGCACATTTTCTTGAATCCTCCTGCCTTTTTGTCTCTTTTAGCCTTCTAGGAACCTTCATACCTGTTAAGTCGTTGTATTGCTAATAGAATATGGGTCAATGCTAGCTCAGTCGGCATGGGCTTACCAACTCCTGACGGCAGCAGCCAGACAGGAGTTGGCGTGGCTCTCCGTGTCGCCCAGGGTTTGATGAGGGACTCTAAAGTTAGCTTCCACTGATACTCAGTCATTACCACAGCCAGGCAGGTCATACGCATAACCAGACCCCCCACTCAGACTCATCAGTCACACCTCATTTATCTCATTTGCCAGCACATCCCCTTCCGGAAGAGAGTATCCCTCCTTTCATTTTACTTAAAACTTTACAATTAGCATACACCAAAAAAGAGAGTAGGTGTGCAACAATGGTCTTATTGTAGATGAGACAAAGACATAACCTAGGGCTAGGATGAAATACTTGTCAACTTGCAAAGACAACGATATTGAACAAAGGGATTTTGTTAGTTAGTTGAAAGAGTATTTGTTAGAAACCGCACTTTGATATGTAAAAAAACCCTTTTTTATTGGTGCCTTTTGTGTTATAGAAGTTATAAAATAATATTGTTTTTTTGTATTTATTTAATTTTAACATTAAGTTGTTTTACTGTACTTAAGCACTACGTTGAAAGCAGACGGAATAACTTATATAATAATCGAAATAAATTACATAGTTTCCTTTTTTTGTGCATGCCTAACAAGCACGTGAACATTTTATTTTCGTAATTGATTTTATGAAATTTTTACTTTTTTAAAACCTGATTTGAATAGGAAAAACCGTTCCCAAACAGCTGCTAAACAAGAGTAGCCTACTGTCTGCCATACTTGATTTGGTGGATTCACAGGTGTGCTTTAAAATCTCTTCAGCCAATCAGAAGAGAGAGATCTCTATTCCACGATAAGACAGTAAAGCTGCATCAGCTCTACATGTAGCTACCTGTAGGTGGGGGTGGGGGCTGAAGTTAAACCACGAGGTCTTTAAACATTACAAATGTCTCACATGATGGAGTCTTTGTTTCTTGTCACACTCTTCTTATGTCACGTATTTCATTACCTCATCGTTTCGCATATGGCCCAGATACTAAAGGCTATAAGAAGCAAGTCTAGGCCAAAAGCAGCCACAAAGGGCCTACATTTAATGTTTATTTAGTAACAGTTTGCCTTAAAAGAGGACAGACAGAGGCTCCAGATCTGATAAACTGACTTATTACGCTTTACTGTAGAGCTCTATTACTTATGGAGCCCCGGATCGATAGGATCAATCGGTTTGCAGGCCGGTTATTGATAGGGTATTTACCTCACAGTCGTAGAGGTCCGTTAGCTGGTCGATAATCCACTCCTCCAGGTTCAGTCTCTTCCTCAGCTCTTTACGGTCATATTTGACGGTAACGCGTCCCTGCTTCCGAACCGGAATCTCGGGTTCCTCCGCGGTGCCGCCCGGCGTCTGGAAATATACCCGGGGTTGAGGGCTCGTATCAGCCATCGTCACTCGCTTCGGGATACTAAAATCCCCCCCGGAGGTGTGAAGTGTGAAATGGGCGACAGTCAGGAGGCGAAGCGGCTTTTGTTGACGTGCTGGCCTTTTCCTCACTGAAAAAAAAATCTCGGCTGATAAATGTGTGACTTGGAATCCCCCGAAGAAACAGCGCTGGACCTGATGCTTTTGTTGTCCAAAAATTGCTCAAAGAGACGTTGGCAGTAGCCGGACGTTTCCACAAAACAAACCGGAGCGACCGTTACGGTGAAACGTGAAGTGTAACCGGCTTATTGGGCTATTTACAGCATGCAAACTCTGCTTATATAAAAAGAGAAGAGAGAGGAGCGGAGCAGGCTGAACTCTTCATTCAGTACAAAGAGAAATCACACGCCTCTCTCTCTCTCTCTCTCTCTCTCTCCTCTCTCTCTCTCTCCTCTCTCTCTCTCTCTCTCTCTCTCTCTCCTCTCGCTCTCTCTCTCTCTCTCTCTCTCTCTCGCTCTCTCTCTCTCTCTCTCTCTCTCTCTCTCTATCTCTCTCTCTCTCTCTCTCTCTCTCTCTCTCTCTCTCTCTCAGCCCCAGGAGAGCTGCGTGCGCGCGCTCTCCTTGAGCTCGAGCGCATCCGACGTAGCCCGACTGAAAAAAGAGAAAAGCAAATGTTGATTTTTTCCAACTTTGAATATCAGTTCACTCCCCCTCTTCCTTCTCATGCATTTTTCCAAAACTTTCCCATGTGACCCCCTGGAGCCCACTGTAACAGATGAGCTTCACACGTGCACAGATGTACAATCTTTTTCCCATGGTGCAAACATAAATTTGGACATGAGCATTCCAAAATTAGACTGTAATGTGTTAATTGCAATAGTATAGTTGCACTGATAGATGTGCTGGTATTTTTATTTCATACATCTGCACTTGAATCGGTCTCGATAATTGTTAGTGTGATAACGATTATGGAAACATATTGATTTACTTTGTGTGTTCTTACCCTAACTTAAAACAGTTATGTTATTTCCTTGCTGTAGGAAAGTCAAATCTATATTTGTGAACATGAGAACAACCCAGAAACCAAAGAAATAAGTTTAAAATGTACTTCCTGTTCAGGATCTGCCCCATAGACAATGAATGGGAGACTTCATTGACCCACAGATTGTTTGCTAAAGCTAAAAAAATGTTTTGTCCATTATAGTTCCCTCAGTTGTAATTCAGAAAGTCTCCATATACCGGTACTTATCCCTGGCTATTCTGTGTTTCCCAATGATTTGTCTGTTGAGCTTTCCAGACTTTATACAAATATAATTGTCCTCGCTTTTTTGCCTTCTTTTTGGATTTTATTTTTCAAAATGGCTAAGAGTTCATGCTGACTAATATGTTTTAATGTCTTAAAGTTAAACCATAGCATGTACTGTACAGAGTTTTGAAAATGTTTCACTTTAAGTTTATCTCCATAGTGAACCTATTCAGAACTTTTCAATCGCCCAACCTTTGACAAATCTTGTGACTCTTTAAATAACCTACAATTGCTCTCATCATTAAAGGCATGGGCTTTTAGTGCATTGTGCAGCACTTTGTCCTTACACGGTAATTGCACAAAGTGCCAGTTTGGCCCGGGGCCTAACAGCTTCAAACTCTTGGTATTTTAATGCTCATTTGACTAGTTCACAACAAAAGTGTCCTCTGGAATGTGTGAAATGTATACAGATAAAGATTTCACGCTTAGATTTCACAGTTTATGAATAGAGAGCTTATAATTCACAATTATACAAAAGTGTTATTGTATGTTTTGCAAGATGTCATTTTATCTCTTTTAAGATTACGCAATTTGAGTGGATAGCAACTGGATTTACTAGTTTGGATTCAGTTGGAAATTAACTTTTACATTGCAAAGATTACAAAAGAAACACTGGAGGTGTTCCATCAACAGGAAACCAGTCCCATTTGTTCACAGTGTGTCCATTGTGTGTCCACAGCAGGGGTCCTACACCCGGCCAGGCTGGTTAATAAAAGAGTTTTAATAATAATAGGAGTGTGAAGTAAAGGGGGAGGCAACTGAGGGAGAGCAGATTCATAATGCCTCTCTCCTTCTAATCTTCTTTAGAGTGTGTATGTTGGTGTTCACATCTGTCAACATGCTCATATTGGTGTGTGTGATGTGTCGTACCGGCCCATGCAGGCATTCCACCGACAACCATGGCAACAAGACATAAAAAACTGAATTATTCAGTGAGCTTGTCTGAAACTTACAGTTGAGTAAGCACAGTTGGACACACACACACACACACACACACACACACACACACACACACACACACACACACACACACACACACACACACACACACACACACACTAACGTAAACATTCACATATAGCAAAGACATGCAGTCACTGTTACACACGATCCTTTGCACAAACCAAATGTGTCACCAGGTTATAGAGTAAAATGCATTATGCAAACTTTGTTTTTTCTTTGATATTTGAGTCTTTCCACTATATGTCAGACAGACACTGCAGAAGAAGTCAGTATGATGTACGCATGCAACATTAAAACTGTTGTGGCCATGAGGAGAGTGAAAGAGGAACCATGCACAGTATGATGTGTGAGAAAATGTAATGAGCTCAAATAATCTTACTAAGAAGCTCAAGTTTGCAAACAGCCAGAAAACTGAACTTATTACATTGTATATCCCTAAGCTTAAGCACCGTGAGAGACCTATACATCACACAGGTCGGATATTATACTGTACTGCATTAGACTATAAGATTATATGTCACAAATATCCTGCCCGGAATGATTTTGATGCATGATAATGTCCTGATAATCATCACAATGTGCTTGGAACTCAAAATAATGGCATCCTGTTTTCACTTTACCTTAAAAGCTACACATATTTATATTGCATACCAGATATAGATCTTTTTAAGTGAACATCCATTTTAGGAAAAAACAATCTTAAATAATTAAACACAAATAAATCGCAATGTCCTCCTGAATGAATTGTAAATAAACAAAAAGCAACATTGTGTGAGTCTGAAGGAAAATCTATTAGTAAAGTAAGCCCTACATTGACATATACGGTAAGAACATAAGCGGAAGAGACTTCTTTTCTTCTAAGATGCTTCCATGGAGCAGCTCTTAAAGAGAGAGCAATATGAATACATCCTCAGGAGTTGAGGAAGTCATCCTCCCACAGGGGGGAGCTGTTCCCTCTTATGTCATCACTGGGAGAAACTACCTACAGTACCTACTACTACCTGCAACACTTTTTATCCCCCTTGTTTCTTGCCAATGCATTTTCTTTTGAATAAATTAGAATCGGGTTACATGTTGTTTATGATTATAGTCAAAAAATAAATGTCCTTTGTCCTTTTTCCATAACGAGGTCAGAGGTCAAAGTCTAATAACCTCTGAAGACCAATTAACCAACATCAAAAATAAAAATACATACAACATGTAATAATAATCAACAGCAAAACGTTACAAAAGCAAGAACATATAGTATAGTATGAGAGGGACAAGGAAATGAACAAAATGAAAGAGGTGGAAAAAAGGATCTGAGACACAAAGTGGTATTGTTTAAATTATTTGACATATGACAGGATGGATGGAACCTATTCGATAAATACACAAGCACATGACGTCAGCATTCATTGAAAAAAAAGTGAAATCCAAGACTGTATTTTATTATATTGTATGTTATGGTCTCCATTTTATACACTCTCATTATTTTAGGATGTAGATTTAAACAATCTTCTTTTAATTGTGTAATAGACTAAAGTCTTGCTTTAGTTTATACTATTGATTTGACCCTGATTCACTTAAGAAGAAATCCACTTTCTCACAGTTGTGCAATCCAGCTTGCACCACACTCCACTCAGCCACTAGATGGCAGTATAGGAGTGTATTGCAGACATGTGACAATGATAAGGAGTAAAAATCATGCTTTCAGTTCCCTTTTGTGGAGCATTTTTGGGCTGCAGGGGGGAGTACTAACAGCTGGATATAAACTCATTTGGACAGAGTGAACTGATGAATGGAGCTATGAGGAAATAAGTGTATCATATCCATCTTCAAGTCTATCAAACACCTCTTCTGAGGAAACTGTTAACAGCACATGTGATATCTATGGTCGACACTAACCTTGCATTGTCATGGAGACGGATGAGTTCAGTCTGCTGTGAACTGTCAGAGTCTCTGCAGGCCAAAAATCTCAGCAGTAATCTGATCAAGTTTGTATTGCTACTGTTGACTGAGTCAGGCCTTTCTTATTAAAGCCAGTGTGTGTACTGTACATGTGTGTGTTTCTGTGTGTGTGTCAAGGGAGGGGGCAGTGTGTGGTGACACAGTGAATATGCCTGTGTGTCTTTATACAATGTGTCTTTGTGAGTCCTTGGCTCTGCGTTGGAGAGAAAGAGCTTTCTGTTCGGGGGTCTTCCCTTTCTCCCCAACATCTTGTCTCTCACTTTGTTCCTTTTTAACCTCTTGTCCCCCTTTTTCATTAACTGTGGCTTCTTTTTTTTTTAACACCCCCTACCTTTTTTCTTTCTTTTTATTGTCTTTCTTTCTGTATGTGTTACAGAGAAAATAATGACTTCCTCTGTAAATACCTAAACATGATTAGATCTCACATTCACTCCAGTTACATTTCCAATGAATATAAACAATCTGTCCCTTTTGCTCCTTTCCTTCCCCTCACATCCTCTTCTGTTTTGTGCCTCTTTTATAAAATGGTCCTTTCTTTTTGCTCTCTGTACTTTATTCCAGTCTTTTGAGTTCCTCTGACGGGGGCTTTTTGAGGACACTGCAGCTGTTTAATGGCAACCAGTCTGATAGATAACAGCACATGGCACTCAATGGCATAACATAGGATTCTTCTTCTGAATTTCATTACACAAATGTCATGCAAATCCATTGATAGAAAGTACAGATTCTCCACAGTGAAGTGAAAACGTTGACATGATGGTGGTTGCTAGAAACTCAGAGAATCACCAACGTCATAAGGGTTCATACTCTGGGGATCATGGATAGTGTACCACATTTCATTGCAAACTATGCTTAGTGGTGAAGAAATGTTACTTCAAAATGTCTCTTGGTTGTTCAAGAAGAGTAGTAAGAATATCAGATATTAGAAAAGGCCAGGAGTTCTTTTCATTGTAGCCATCTTTATTTGACAGGTCCCTGTTATAGGAACTATTTAGTGGACTGACTGACAAATATGAAAACTACATATAAAATGACAAACTTCTAATATGGACACAGTTATTGTACATTATATCCGGTTACACAGCACTTTTTTCAGAGCAGAGCCGAAGTAACCTCACCAAAAACATATTTCTGGGTACAGTCAGAAAACCACTGAAAGTAGAAAAATGAAAATGAAACTGAGTAGGGACGAAAAGTGAAAAACATCCTGCTCGTCTGAGTGTACTTTTTCTTACAGAGTGCAAAATGTTCCTTATTCTATGTTTATTCAGATGAGTACACTGTCAGATAATCCAAACTGAGCTGGACACCTGTTGGAATGAGTAGCAGTAAATGAGAAAAACCCAGAAGAGGAAGAGAAAGACTACGAAATAGAGACCTTAAGAGGGAATCGAATGGTAAAAAGGGAGAAAGAAGGGTGAGGGGAGCTGTCTATTGACACCACAGGTGCCTGCACTTCAAATGCAGCGAAAAAAGAAGTTCATTTGTGTGTATGAGACAGGAGAGATACTGTGTGTGCATGTATTTTATTATGCACGCAGAGAAACACAATACCCCTGCTTATGCATGTGTTCTGTGCTGTTGAAAGAATGCATTTGCATGTGTCCACCTTTTATTCGTTTGTTGTCATTTGAGAGGTTGTGTGTGTGTGTGTGTGTGTGTGTGTGTGTGTGTGTGTGTGTGTGTGTGTGTGTGTGTGTGTGTGTGTGTGTGTGTGTGTGTGTGTGTGTGTGTGTGGTGGTTCAGATTAATCAACAAGTCTAACCTGGACTCAGTTACGGCTCGGATTTAGGCGCACGCAGCTCAGGTACACACACACACACACACACACACACACACACACACACACACACACACACACACACACACACACACACACACACACACACACACACACACACACACACACACACACACACACACACACACACACACACACACACAATCTGTCTAGCTGCTGAATTGTTAAACAATGTGTCTCCTGCTGGATGCGTGCACCTCCTCAGGGTCATGTAACTATGACACCAGCTCTTTCTAGACACGGATATGCAATTTTCATTCCATGATAGATTAATATCGGATGATTCCTGTGGATTTTCTTTGAATTTCCTCTTCCTCGCTGTGGTTTTGGTCAAGTAGAAACACCAGGCAGTCAGTCAGCAGGCAGCTGCATAGCAGACATTCCTGCCGAGTGTAGTTAGGGAGTTGGAGAATGGCAACGTTGGCCAAAAAATCTGTTAGGGTTTTTTTTTTTTGAGAACTTGTAATGTTGCCTGGCAGTGGGATTTGGACGGGTCGGACTGTAGCTGTGCCTTCCTTCTTGTTCACACGCTTCTTTAAAACATGAGATGCTGCAACTGATCAGGAAGAGGAAAGTTACCTGGTGACTTCCAGCGGCTTCAATTACCTCCCTCCAAAATCCACCCACAACTATTTCCTATTCATTTGATGCAGATAATACTATTGTTTAAAAATGACCTCCATGTGTTTTTCCAATATGCAGTTCCATGATTTAATAATATCATTGGTTGCATGAGTAATCCGTATCAGTCAACAGCAAGATGAATGATTTAAAGCAGAGTTATTTATATTATTAAAACTTTAAATCCTGTAGACAGTAAGCAGGAAATGACTCTATTTCTACAGGCATGTTTTGGGGTCTTTGTACCAGTTTTATTTATCCTTTTTTGAATTGCCAGTATTTGACATCTCACGTTTCTAATAACTAACAAATTGAGAGTTTACCTGCAGCATATTAAGGAGCTTTAAGAGTGATTTAATCTTGAATTGACCCTTAAATAGCAAGTAGTAGCTTTACACTTAGCGAACAGACATGACACTGATACTGATACTGATCTTTTAAAAAACAGCATTGTTTCCTTGTTCCCCGTCGTCGAAGGCCTAACATAGAAACTATCTTAAAGAAAACAAAGAACTGCTTACACTTTATTTTAGATGCTTAGATGCCTGGAGATGTGAATGGATCTAGTTATATGTGATGTATACTCTTACAATAAACTTAGATTATTTTCAGGCCTATTATTTTTCTGTAATCCTGCTGTCAAACAAAGTGCAGATAATTTAAATTGAAAGGTTTAATGAAAGACATTTGAGAGTTGCATTGTGGGACATGTAGGGTTTTTGGAGCTAGGGACCAAACGTCAGGATATATGCCTTTGCTAATTTCGACTATCTTCTTTTAATCTGATTGAAAATCTGAAAATTGTACACATTTTATGGAAGTACAATACTAAATTCCCAGAGAACACCTTTCAATTGCAATTTTTTTTGATATTTCAGTAGTAATGAAGTGAAAATTAAACGTGTGCAAACATTAAGCAAATAGAAAGTGAAAATCATTATCATGCAATTGTCATGTTCATGTTAGTATATTCATACTGTACATTTTAGGAGACAGGAACTTGGATTAAAACACACCCCTTTTTTACTTAAATTGTGACTCCCCCCCTCTCTCATTCCTCATTCACTCGGTGCTATCTGACGCTGTCCTCTCTCTCCTCTTCGGAATCTTCCCTTTTTCCACAGAAAACATGCAGGGAGGAGAGGAGGAGGAGAAAAGAAGAAACTCGTCGGAGGCGACAAGAGAGAGAGGAAGCAGAGAAAGTTAGAGGAGCGAGAGGAGAGGGGTCGAGCAGATGGGAGGAAGGAAGGAAAGGATCTCTCTGCGGGCTCAAGTGCGCGATTAAAGGATTGTGCGTAAATAAACAAATGAATCAAAGCCTATAATACAATTTTTTTTAAAAAAGGGGGAGTTGTATGCGCGCCACCGCGTTGCGTGGACGCGGACAAGACAGCGCGCTGAAACAAGTCCTGTGTGTTCTCTCTGGATTTTACTCCTCATGTTCCTCAAAGTCTCGCTGCTGTGTAGTAACTTTTTAGTTTGAAAATCTCCCCCCCCTCACCCCCCCCCCCCTCGTCCTGTCGGTTCACTCTCTCCCCGGAAAAGAAGCTCCGGGGTGGAAGTTGGAGGAAGGAAGCGCGGTTTTTTGTTCCTTCCGAGGAGTCCAGCTCGCTTTAGCCGGGGTTTAGGCGTTGGCAACCGGCAGGGAATACCTTGCCATGGCCGGGGCCAAGCCGGGAGTCCACGCGCTGCAACTCAAGCCCATGTCCGTCCACGAAGCACTGAAGAAGGGGGGGAAGTTCATCAAATGGGACGAGGTGAGACATGAAATGTTTGTTTTCCTCAAAGTTTAATACACGTGTCGCCTCGCGAGTGAAACAAAACATGTTTCTCAGTCAAGAAGGGCGACTAAAAAATGACAAGAGACAGACACCGTGAGACATGACAGCTTTTTGACAGAATGCACACTGTTGTGAAGTGGCCACGAGACTGGTGCGTGTGTGTGCGCGCGCGTGAGTATTTGGAGTGCAGGTGTGCCTCATAAACAAAAAAAAACCTATACACCTTTATATGTATGAGTGTGTTTTAATCAGATATTGTAGTAGAAAACTCCTCTGTAGTTGCCAGCTGTCTGTTGTGTTGAATTGTTGTCAAGCCGGTTTTTCTCGGGCTCATGTTCAGTTCAGACGCCCTCATGCATCCTCCTTTCCCCTCCTGTGTCCTTCTCTTTCTGCACTCCCCCCTTATCCGCAGGGGATAAGAGGAGAAAGCACCTGCCTGTAGAAGTTACCTCCATTTGAGAGTGCACCTAGAGCTCTGAAATGTCCCCTTTTTTAAAAAATGTTCCATGTGTGTTCTGTTTTTGTTTTCCATGAGTCTCTAAATCACGTCATTAGAAGTTTTCTTTATTTGTCCGGCTCTATTTTTCCTTAGTTCTGTAGCAGCTTTTCTGGCAGTCCTAACATGTGCCTGCCCTGCACCGTGTCATTGACCATAATAATTTGTCTGTGTGTGGGTTTTCTGATACAGACTGCAGGGCCATTCTGCAATCGTCTCTGTAAAGAAAGTGTGTGTGTGTCAATGATTAACTAAGTTGTAGCCCTAGTGTCTTCCAACAGTGGCATGCAGGAGTGTGTGGTTTGTCGTCCAAATGTATTTATTAGGCTAAAACCTCTTGATATGTAACCTTTCACCTTCACATATAATTATCAAAATGGCAACATTTCATCAGACAAACCACTTGCATTAAACAAAAATTACGACCACAATTTGGCCAGAAATAGATATGTAGGTTTTAACAGTGAGCTTCGTTCAGCAGTTCATCTCAAAGGAAGAAGACTGGGCGTGTTTAAACATACCAGGTTATGAAATAAATGCAATTTATTCTAATCTGCTGGCAAAAGTGTCCAATTGCTGAGCTCCAGCACGGGAACGCATGGTGGAAAATCAAGTGTGTTTATTGCGCTTCCTTATCAATAAATACGTGTCACTGTACTAAATTGTGCCGTGTGATGTTTAATTCAGCTTATATCTCATAAATAAAGCAGTGTATATTTGATCCCGTCCATGCCACACAAACTGTAACTTATGAATGTGTGTGATTGTGCGTGGATCCTCAAATATTAATCAGTTAAAGTGAAACGTCCAAAAAGGTTGTTATCAAAGGTGTTGTCATAGAAGGTCAGGTGTGGTGTATCATGCACACACGCAAAACAAAGTATGTATTAAAAACGTACTTTTTTTGAAAAAAATCAACTCTTGATAAAAACACCCTCATATATGACCGTTTTCATGCTTTCTTCCTTTTTATATCTTATCAAAGGGAATATATTTGGGTTTTGAAATTATAAAATAGGACATTTAAAAAAATACTTTGGATTTTAAGAAAACATTTTTTTGTTGGCTAAAAGAGTTAACTGGAAATAAATGACAGATAAATTGAGACTAAAAATAATAGTGAGCCCTAAAACCCAGCTATCAGCAACAGAGCGCGACACACACCGTCATGATGACGTGATGTGTGTAATGTGTGTCTGGCTTCAAAATAAGGGTCTTGCATACCACGTCCTTTTGATTCCCTTTCTCTCTCTTTCTTACACACACTGACTCTCTCTCATTGGGAATTCCCAGGAAATGGTTATGCTGGTGATAAAGTGTGGGAACACTCCAAAACATAAGCATGTTTTCTCCCTGTGTGTCTTTACCCCATTGAAATCAACATCTGAATTATGGAAAATATTTAGTTTTGGAGACGACACATCTGGGAGAGGAGGGATGTGGCTGAGATGAGAGAGAAGGAGAAATTAGAACTGTCAGTTTTCCAAAATAATTAAATCAAACAGGAATGCTTTGTATTCGAAGCCAAATGTCCTTATGTTTTGTCCCAGAAGGATTTTTTTTTCAGATTTTCAACCGAACGCATCATGTAAAAATAAAATCGGAAATTCTGTATTGGATCACTCCGAAGTTGCTCCATCACACTTAAGCATACCATAGTCTCAAACATGAGAACTTTTAAGAACTTATTGTTGTTATATGTATATTGTATGAACTCTTATTTCATCTGGAAGTCTCTTGAGATGTCCATCTGTTTTATGAGAGAGACCTGCCAGAAACAGCGGTGCAGTGCTAACAGATTCACATGAAAATTGATTTACAACTTTCTCACACAGCAACGGCATAGAGTATATTATTATAGGGCCCGCGGGGCATAAAGGAGAGAGTTAACTATTAAACGCAGTCGAAATAGTCGCTAAACTTTTTCTTAATATGCCTGGTGTGAAGGCAGTGTTTCTGAATCATGTAAGTTATTCCAAAACCAAGGTACTTTTTTTACAAGTTCAGAACACTCTGGGGGGGAATCATAAGGGCATCCATATCAAGCTAAGCGTGACTCAATCTAAACAAAAAGAAATCACCCCAACTGTGCTGCAGGAATAATAAAACCACAGGGAGATTAATTCATTAATGTTATTATTTGAGAGGTGTTGATTACTTGGACATATTATAAATCTAATAAAACGTAGTGTGGCGGTGCACATGGTTTATTTTAGCGTCTGTCTGTGCTTTAACAGGGAAGTTGACCAATGGGCCACTGTCCAAACAACTTGGTGTTCTCCTTTAAGGACTTAGCAAAGTGAGAAAAGAACGAGGACACACATACAGAGAAAGTGCCCGAGGGCAGTGCCGTTTGTTTATATGAAAACCCCACTTTTGACCCCATCCCTCACATTTCACCCCCTTCCTCATCACCGTGTCCTCCCTCCTATTACTTCTTCATCTTCTGTCTCTTTTCATTACATCTCTTTTTCCTTCTTCACTTTTCAATCCTGCACTGATCTGTCGCTGAGCTGCTGCTGTAGGCCATCATGACACACATGCAGGGGGGGAGGAGGGGGGGAGGAATGCACTACAAACTGACCGTCTTTCTTCAGTGTTTCAGCGTGTGTGCTCACATGTGTGTGGCTGTTTTGTTCTGGGTGTGTGTCTCACTTTGAATGACTTCCTGTTCGAGCTTGTTTTAAGGCTCCAGAGCCAAACCGTTTTCCTTCCCTCTCTCCTTCTCCCCCCCCCCTGCTGCGTCTCCGCCCTCTGCTGCCCAGCCGCAATTCAATTTAGATGAACTCCAACTGGAATTCAGTTAAAATTCCTTCCAAACAACCAATTAAACACGAAGAGACAGACAGATTGTCTACAGAGCAGCTCTGCTCTCTGTCAGAGTGGAGGGCACACAAGTCAAAATAATCTTCTTTACACCTTGCAGAGTTTTCAGCATTTGTTCAGCTGGATTATATTTTCACCTGTGTTCAAATACACTTCCACCATGCAACTTCCCTGTACATAATGTGCATTTGCATGCTTTCAAATATGCACTCAATAGGCACCCTTTGCAAAAGAAGAATTTGTCGCGTGACCCGCGTCACAAACACTCGTTTATTCTTCTTTGTTCAGAACCACATGGGAAAAGTGCAGTTTTTTGGATTTGATTTGTTTATGTTCACATGGCACAAATAAAAGCGAACCACGGCTTACAAAGCTTATATCACATGGAATCAATAGTAGCTCATTAGTTCGACAATAGTTTTGTGACAGTTTTGGCTCCAGCTCAAAATGCCTGTAACTTGAGCGAAGCATGATGCACCATAAGATGTTACATTTTGAAGCTGTTTCCTGCTAATTGTTTGGGGTTGTTCAGTCCGACCGCACCTCAGTTCACTGAGAGGAGCGCAGAGCGATAATCTTGGCAGCAGTTGAGGACAGTAAAGACATGTTAATGCTGCTGTTGTCCTCAGTGTTTATCATTACTCTGTTGCCAAACCAAACGGAGTGCAGACGCTCATCCTCCATTCACAAATGTCCTGACCTGGCATTTTTTAGATCTAATGTTTTCACCATCCACATCTAGTTTGAAGATACTCTTAAAAGCCCTCGTGCTGCATTTTGAGTGATCCACGCACAACAGTGTTATTTTCATAATCCGTAACTGTATCAACTTGAAACATTGGAAACGGAAAAACCTGAACAGGCAGAACGCAATTAGCATTGTCAGAAAGACTTGGCTAGAATAAATGAACTGAAATGCTTAATGTGATTGACTGAAACTAGACTAAAATTCTACGGCGTTCTGGGACTAAAATCTGACTTAAATGCCCCGTATTCAACTAAAACATGAAAAACAGGATTAGGTTTAATAAATATGGACACAGGACTAAAAATTAGTGAAAATCATAGCTGACTTTAAATCATTTATTCCTATAATTAGTTGAAATTAACCAAATATGTAGTAAATTGTGGTTTGGATGATCGTCGGTGAGTCAAAGACTTAATTGAATGTGTGCCAAGCTATGCTACGAACGCTTCTTCAGGTATTAAAAACAGTCGATTTATGGAAATGTATGTTTGTTTTCTAACTGAGACCAAGACCAACCCCACTCTTATGTCTCTTATGTTAAGGAGGCGTGTGGTGCAGTGGGTTGTGCGTTTGTGTTGGGATCAGGTGGTCACAGGTTCAAACCCCACTGCAGTCAGTATGTTGTTGTGTCCCTGAGACACTTCACCCCAAATTGCTCATGGGGATTGTCCACAGTATTGAGTATGTGAGTCGCTTTGGATAAAAGCGTCTAAGTAACATGTAATGTAATGTCTGTATGGTAAACATGAAGTGGCAGCCAGTTAGCGTAGCTTAGCATAAAGCACTAGTTAAAGGCTCTGTTCTAAAGCAAACTCACACCCAGATTCCTTAGATTCATAGAGTAATTATTAGGTTGAATCAGTCCCTGCAAACATTACAACTATTCACTTAAAAAAACACCAGCTG